CAAAATTAAACTGCTACAAGATCATGCCTTTGAAGGTCTAATCAACCTTGAGGTTTTGTAAGTTAACACACTCTTCATGTTCTACCTTGATATTTTTTACTCTCCTGTAGATACTTATCTTATTTCTCTTGTAAATTTTTAGGAAGCTAAATAATAACAGTCTTTCTGAAATCAATCAAAATACAGTCAACCAATTGAAAACCCTTAGAAAACTGTATGTATTGCCTTTATCCTTTGTCTTTACTTACACATTATATTGCACTCTTTCTGATGCCAGACAATGTTCTCTACTTTCAGGGACATTTCAAGCAATCCATTGCAGTGTGACTGTGCTCAATCATGGCTGTCCAATTTAGCCAGAAGTTTAACTCTCAAAATGTCTCCAACACCAAAGTGTTCATCCCCTGCTGGAGGATTGACATTAGTTCAGTGGATTGAGAAAAGTTCTTCAATGTGCGGCAGTAACCTTCATACACTTGATTTACTCAAGATACAACCTAAACAAGATCAGGTATTTCCTGTCTTTGTGCTCTGTAATATTCATAAATTCTTTATCCATTCATTAAAAGTATAATTAATTTGTTTTCTATTTCTCATTGCAGATTGTCTTTGAAGGAGATCGCTTACAACTTCAGTGTCATGCCCTCCTTACTGGTCTAGACAACCCAACAATATCTTGGTCATGGGGAATGCAAGATCCATCTTTAGCCTTCCAAGATGTTCATTTAGAGAATGTTAATGTGTCTGACAATGGAACCTTTCAAAGGTAATTTAATTTTTTTTAAATTAGATTTCAGTTGGATGGGGAAGGACATGTAATGTTATATTCAATAAAATGTTTAACTCTATTTAACATTTGTTCACAGCTCTTTGATAATAGATCACTTGACGAGTAATCACTCAGGACAATGGAACTGTTTGTTGGTATCTGGTCAGGCTAATCATTCTCGAACAGTTTCTGTCATAGTAATCTCACAAAAGACAGTCTATTGCCCGCAAACAGGTATAACAGTGTATTTTTTGTTTTGTTTTCTGATGCCTTTCTTAGTGTTCTAGGATGCATGCTAAACTTCCACGATTTTTTAATGTATTATTCCTAACTTTGTTCCTCATATTCAACAGTTACCCGCAGCAATAAGGGTACGTATGTTTGGCCTCAAACTGTTGTTGGCTTCTCAGCAGAGTTGCCTTGTGAGGCTATTGGTTTCAACAGTTTTCACAAACACTCAGCATTTTATGAGTGTTCGAGTGAAGGTAGGTGGCAGTCTCTAAATACCTCACTCTGTCCGTATGCAAGTGAAACCACACGATTACTGCAAGATTTTTCAAAAGTGAGTAACTTTTAAAATTGAATTAACTTTTACCGTTTTATTTATGTGTAGCAAATACACGAAACAATCAGAAGTGTCAATCTGATATGTGTTTACTGTTGTTTATGTTGTTTATTTTGTTGTTTTTTGTGCATTTATAGATGAATCTTAGTGAAGAACATGGTCCTGCAATTGTAGAAAGTGCCCGTCGGCTCTTGAATTTGTCTTGTGGGACTCCTCCGCCGTCAGATAAGATGGATGCTATCTTCCTCTCAAGAGCCATTTTCAATTATCTAAAATTTTTGCCAAAAGAAAAAGAGGTTGGTATCTTGACTCTTTCAGCCTCAGTTGGTGTATTTGCAAGCAACCTAATTTTTTTCTTTATGACTAACAGGTTGGATCACTTTTAATTGATATGGTGAGCTGTACAATTCAGATGCCTCGCCATATTTTAAGGGCTGCTCAAATAGAGGACCAAACATGTTCGAGGCTGGTGCAGTCTGTAGAGAGTGTCACTCAGCATTCATCTTCATTGCAACCACAACGGGTAAATTTACTATCAGCCAACATTAGTGCTATGTGTCATGTCCATGCCTGATTATTTTTATTAATATTATTATTATTCGCAGGCCACGTTGGCAGTTGAGGAATTCCGTGTCAGTCATACCAGTTTTTTGGGAATTACATGTGTCTGGTACTCAAGTGATGCAGAATATATTGCTTCTGGTAACTCTCACTCTTCTAAGATATTTCAGTGTTCTGAAGGAAATAACACAGCATTTTTGTCTAGTAGAGAGGATGTAAGTTACAGTCTTAATTTGCTTTGGACTTGGCATTGTGTTTACTGAAAACATATCTGACTGTTGTTTTAAAATTTCACAGCTCATAGAAGCATCTATTCAAATACCTCCTTCACTGCTTGAAAGACTGGGTATGCCGGTCCTACCTTCTTACCAACTTTTAATCTCAATGTTTGAGAATGGCCACTTATTTCCACGTCTCAATAGAAACGACTCTAATGACAGGTGGGATGTGGCTTCCAGTGTAATTGGAGCCAAACTTGGTTAGTATTACTCATTTGACTGTGTTTGTATGTATACCTATTGTGCTACAACTACACGAGTGGTTTTTAAAAAAAATTGAAAATCACATGTTAACTTTTTTCTATTTTAAATTGTGTTGTCCAGTTGGGATGAACGTTCAGAATCTTGTTGATCCCTTGTACATTGCGGTCCGAGGCCGCGAGGCAGGAGGCTGGGCGCGGCCGCGCCCCGTGTGGTGGGATGAGGATATGAATGACGGCACAGGAGGCTGGAGCGAGCAGGGCTGCACATTGTCGCATCTCATGCACGGGAAGCTTGTCTTTTACTGTGACAGATTTGGCTACTTCGGCCTCCTTCAAGAGTTGCCGTTTGAATTTTTGGAAAGGTATGTCGTGACAATTTTTTATTTCTATATCTACCAATGACTTTTCAGAGTAACAAAGTTTAATTTTTTTTTGCTTTTAGGATGCCTAGAGGTTTTTTGCAATTAGCTCACCCTGCTATTTATATAGGGAGCTCAATATTAATAATCAGTCTGATTATTGCAATAGTGACCTATGTTGTTGTCGGTCCACGCATACAGATGCCAAAAAGATCCAAGCATGCTCTCATTAACACATGGATTGCTATCGCTCTTTTAAGTTTCATGTTTAGGTAAGCTGAATAGCTTGTGCTTGTCTCCTAGTGCTTCAAATTTTATTGAACACTATTTAATTATCTTTTCTCTGTACTCTTAGCATTGGAGTTCACCAGACTGACGATGTTGAGCTCTGTCAAAGCATAGGTGTGATTCTTCACTACCTTACCCTTTGTTCGCTCCTTTGGATGGCTATCACCGTGAGGTAAGCCTGTATTTTTAACATTGAATATATTACTGATGTTTATGTTGGCTATTATGATTATTCTTTCTCTCACACTTATCTGATCTAAATAATATCCTTTTACAGCAACATGCGCAAGTCAACTAAGAAGAAGAACCCTTTAGAGATGGGTTCAGAAGATGATCTGCCTTCTAGCTCTCATCCTCCACCAAAACCCCTTTTGGGTCTTTATTTGGTTGGCTGGGGCATTGGTTTGATGGTTGTTGGAGTGAGTGGAGCTGTCAATTTGAAGCAGTATCGATATATAGTTGAAGGGGAGTACTGCTTTTTGGTACCGAACTCAGCTCTAGGTGCAGTGCTTGTACCCTGTGCGTCTGTCATTGTTTACCTCCTCGTGTCTGCCCTATTGGTACGCTGTGATCTCTCTCAACGCCAAAGTGACACTAATGCCCAGTTGTCAGACGGCACTCAGGTAAAGAATAGAATGAACACTGACCATTTCTATTTTGCAATTGAGTAACTTGTAGCCCATTTCTTATGGATGTTCTTCAACTTTTGCAGGGCACTGAGAACGTCGACTTGGATTTATTGGACTGCACTGGCCCTGTCCGTCCTGGGATGGGCAGTCTCAGTGTCGGCAGCACGGTGAGCAGTGAGGTCGAGGACGCCGAGCACACTCCTGCGACTCAGCTCAGGGCCACCCTCATCGTCTTGCTGCTCTTCCTGTCGCTCTGGGCGGCGGGGGCGTTCTCCACCGCGAGTCAGCTGCACACCCTGCTGCCGCACGCCCCGCTCGTGTTCGGCACCTTGTACGCCGTCACCGCCTTCCTGCTGGCTGTGTTCATCCTCTTCTTCCACTGCTTCGCGCGGAGCGACGTGCGCCCCTGCTGGCGCGTCACGCCCTGCCGCGGCCGCCACGTCTCGGACGCGCGCGCCTCCGAGCTGACCCACTCGGCGCCGGCCGGGGCCAGCAACAAGCCGCCGGCGGAAATCACCACGACCGAGAAAGTCTCCAACCTGGAGAAGAATGTGATCCCGCAGGGCAACGGTCCCATCTCCAATCACGTTTCAAGCTCGACGAGCATCAACTCCAACAAGTCTCACAACCAGAGGGCTGCGGTCGAGCTCAACAAGGCTGTCGAGTCGACGGCCGAAGAACCGCAAGAGACCAAGGCCTCCAACATGCATCTCATGCCAGTTTATCGGTCCTACCCCAGCGTCACGGACGCAGAGATGTTCTACAACCCACGCCAGAGTGACATGGCTCGCAAGTTCTTCCGCAAGCAAAAGAGACATGGCCCAGGGGTGAAATCTCAGCATGATTTTGCACGTCGGCTGGGCGATGGGGAAGGAAATCAGTCTGATATGGAGTCTACGATACGAGACTCCTTGAAGGGCTCAGGCTCCAAGGTGAGCAACACCAACATCCATGTGGAACAGGCGGGTAATGAATCCACTACGTCTCATGCTCACAGCTGCAACATACTGGCTTCTGAGGGGCAAGCTGCCACCAATCACGAACGGTGGGTGATTGGAGCGGACAGTCCTCCCCCTCTAAACAACGATGGGACAGTCAGAAGCTTTATGTCTGACAGCAATAGCCTGTCGGGGAGGATATTGGAAAGAAACTCCTCGAGGAGGCGAAGGAACAGAGGAGGTGTCAGTGATGCAAACGGTTTGCATGAGAGGATGAGACAAAAGTACCATAATGGGTCACGTAACGGAACAATAAGCAGTGTTTCCTCTGTCCGAAGTCGAGATGTTGAGATGGATGATGACTTTATGAGGGTGTCTGTCGTTGACGAAGTTCCAGATAGTGGTCCAGTACAGAAGACGTCAGTTTATCCATGGGACAACAGGAGTGTTGTCTCAGGTACATTGTCATTAGACCCAGTTTCTGAAGTGGAAAATGATGTATGCTCTGTAAGTCGATCAAGTCGACATAGTAGTCGAAGCCCAGCATCAAGAAAGAGGTACAGGAGAGTTGAACCTCCCTCATTGAGGTCTCATCCTACGTCTCTTGCTAGCTCAATTGTAAGTCTTCAAACTAGAGATAACTTACCCAGCTCGTATCCAGGAGCAGCAGAAAAAGATTCAACAAATGGCATTGAAGATGCTAATGCCCTTCATAAAAAAGAAACTTGTGTATAATATGTTACTCTAAGTTATTTACATTTTTATTGGTGATGCTGATTTTAAATCAAAACAATTTGACACTGCCATTAGAATGAATGTCTTTTATTGTTATTTTTTAAAACTCACTGCCCGTGGGCCATCTGTAAGCAAGACATTAAGCACTTGAGATAAAATTGTATGATTTTTCTTTGAAATATTATTGACTTGCTTTTATCTTTGCTGTGATGTTAGAAATATTACTCTTGGCATACTAATTTGTTTTGTCATGACTGATTTAGTCTCTTTTTATTGTACATAGTTTATGTACCATATATTTTGCCAAACATCATGGTTCAACTGAGATGGTTTTAAGTTTTTGCTGTACAAAGACTGGATATTTCAAAGTGAATTTTTGAAATTGAGGGGAGTTGTATTAAGGACTGTATAATTTATTGCTCTTGTAAGTAAAACCTATGAACAAGCTTCACTTCAACAACAACCAAAAATAAAAAGAGAAGCAATTGGACTCCAGTGCTGGTAGTCTTTTTTTTTCTGCTCTAGACTGAGCCAGATCAGATTAGAAAAAAACTATCCTAAGTGGAGCTTAGTACATTATAAATTTGGTTTATATTTTGCCATGTCACTGCTCTCACTTCCATGTATGTGTAGTTTTAATTTTCCATACAAAGATTTCCATTGAACATTAGTGCCATTTCAAATTTATACCATGTGGTCATTGATGCCTGACTTTTTAATCTGACGTAAAAGTGAATTGGATTTATATTTACTTTGCAATTGATAAACTAGCCAGGAAGTTATTTCATTAAAATATGTATATGTTCTCAAATACTACAAATACTGAATCGAATTTTCTTATAAATTCTGAAGAGAAGCATCTACTTATCTACTTTCCTGTGTAGGCCATTTTTTTCTGAAGTGTCATGGGAATATTGATATTATTTGTACAGACTGAACAATTTTTGCCCTGTTGGGTGTATGATATGTAATTAGTGTTATTCATAGATATGTCTATGAAAGTTTTCTACTAAAGTGCTTTTCTGTGATGTTTTCTCTCAATTGTATAAAAGTAGCTATGTATTATTTTCATTTTGTGTGTTACTCTTTACAAATCATGGCTTATGTGCTTTGTAACATATTTCATTCATTAATATACTTAATAGTTTTGTAAAGTGGAAGGAATAGATATTGAGATTATATTGAGGGGGTCAGGGACTTATTAGTTTTAGTCATTACCTCTTGTTTTGTATAATTTAAATTAACACATTGAGTCCCATGATGGGCACATGGTAGCCATACCTTGCTGGGGAATGCCACCCCCGTTAATTTCTCTGGGACTCAACGTGTTAATGTCTGTGTGTATTTCTTAAATATTCTTTTCTGGACGTATTTGTGAGCTGTTTATCCCTTTAAAACCTGTAAACTATGCCCATAAGTTTGCTTTAAATTTTCTAATCTTAGCCCAGTGCTCTCCTGTGATCTGATGCAAGGACTTCGTAATCAATATATTGTGAAAGTGTTTCTTTGTACCATTCACCCAATCCGCATTCTTGATTTCCTTGATTTTTGGCAGTGTACAATGAGCTGTATGACTTGTGGACTTGTGGCAAAGATATTGTTGTGCTTCAAAATTTAAAATATACTATTGTTATTGTTCAATTTGTCTTTTACAATTTTTTCATTCATTACTAACACGACTCATGCTCGAAACAGGGCAGGGCTACTAGGCAGGACCGAGCCAACCGAGAAGAGGAGAGGAGAGGGGGAAGAAAGTGGAGGGGGCGGGGTGGAGTGGAGTTGTGATCTGTTGTTGTTTGTTGGTGTACGAGAGCTGTTCTTGCGACTGTTGGTGTACGAGCTTGCGACAGCAGTTGTGTCCTTTTCGTTATTTTCGCATCGTTTGCAATGCAACGGGACCAGCAAGATCGGAGTCTCAGACTCAAGAGGAAATTCAGGTGGGATCCTACTGTTTTATGTTTGGAAGCGTCTGAGATCCCCAAACATATTTTATTCAATGTCAGTCGTAATTAACCTCTCTGCTGCACGTGTACGCTGCACTTCGGATTTGAGCGAATTTAAGCGTCTCTCGAATGAAGAATGGAATACTATGTATCCAACCCCATTAGATTTGGGCCTTTTTTACTGGTAAAATTTGGAAGAGTTTGAAAAATTTGTACTTTTGAACCATTTTCAATGTCTCTCTTAAAACCGTCTTTCAAGAAACACACTCTGTGGAGTAAACTAAATGTAAGGAAGATGTAGCACCCCAGTGATCTATTCTTCTCCATCTATCTCGCCAGAGAGCTTCTTGAAGAAATGTCGATCAAATTCACTTTAGGCTCTGAAAACACAGTTAAATGTAAACTCTCCAAAGTATCAAAACACTCTTACGAGTGGTTTTAATTTAAGGAATTTAATCCACACGCTGTTTTCCAGATAGCGCTTTTTTCAGCCAAATTATACAGCAAATTAGTTAATATCACTTTTTTCTGCTCAAAGACAGGTGGAAATATTCTAGTCTGTGCCAACTGAATGCTCTTAGTCCTGTAAAGAATGATAAAAATGTAAACAATATGGAAACATAGTTAAAAATGCCTGAATATTTATGATATTCACCCTATGAACATTTGATGTTGAGTTGACATTGTTTGTCCTAGGCAATGCTTTTGAAGCATGGCAAGTTAATGTTATGCAGTTCCCTAAAACTGTAGAGAGTCCAGAGATGAGTTGGTGTAACCATGATATATATAGACCAAAATTCTGTTTTTACCCTTGTTGCAGGAAGACCGTTTATTAGTTGCATCTGCGCTTGACATCAGCTAAGCAGCCGTTATCTGTCACCCGATGGTTGCTGAGTCGGCGTCACAGCACACAACATGAGAAATGGACCCTTTTTCTCATGATCACAGGAATGAATCTGGTAAGTTTTGACTTTTTATGTAATGTTAACAAAAAAATATCAATACATTATGGTAGAGTCATGTTGGGTAAAAGTTTATTTTGGTATTTGTTTCTATTAGGGGGTTACTTGTCATATCTTTACTGGCTTTATGCTACCTCCGTATATACCGCTTATTACTTGATCCTATAATATGTATTCGTGTGTTGATTTTAGTGGAGGGAAGTGAGAGAGGTAAATCATCAGAGTCAGTTACAGTAATGCTGTTATTTATTTCATTTGTCTGGTACAGTCGTAGTAAAATAGGAAGTGATGCTGGTTCTTGTCCAAAGGGATGTGCCTGGACTTGAAGCTGGCCACCTGTAACATAGAAAGTTCATTCGATGAGTTGGCGTCACAGTGATACAGATGGACCAGAACACGTTTCAGTTAAACTCTGAGATAATTTGAATTTACTTATATATTTTTTTCATTCTTTTTCAGGT